AAGCCACGGTGGAAGAAGACGAAGATGGAAGGCCGTGGTGAGGAGTTTCGCCGTGGCGGATGATTACAGCGAATGTCATGAGTTTAATGAATTACATATATTCTTTTTTTTTTTTGTCTCGACATCAATTATTCCATTCACCAATAAATTGGTACAAAGATTTTAACTACACTGGTTTTACAACACATACAACAATGCATCTTAGCAACACCCTAGAACATTCACTAGGTGATTTCTCACTCGTATCAAATGCAACCTAGAGTACAATGCTGCATTTTTCACCATTGTGAGAACAAGATCATCCCACGACCCGAAATGAACCGTCCCTTAAACCACTAAATTTTACTTCAATACAAGACAATATGACATAATGAACTAAGCCTATACTTGATACCGTTCCATACTCAAGCTACTAGTAACCAAAAGATTAACATGATGTACTCGTAGAAGTAACATCAACACCTTAGGCGCGTAATCAACTTCAGCACAATCCACCGGTTGTCGAAGTCTTGATCTTTCAGCCACAAAACCGGACATTAGGCCCGGACTGAAAAGTCAAATTTTAATAGCTAAACCGGACCGGTTAGGCAATTACTAGCTTCCAGAAGTGTGGAGCACAACCCGTCATTTTCAATTCTCAATTTTTAGTCAAAACACAAATACATGTCATTTTCTTTAACCAAGTCATTTTCATCTGGTAAAAATTCAATCATTTAATTTAATTAATTGTATTAACAAATGACTTTTGACAGGATTAAAGTGGATTGGTCAACACAATTATGAGATTTTTATTCCATTTTAAAGTTGATGATTAATATGATTTATTTTAAAAACAGCTTACTTAAAAGTTCTAGTTTTTTCATCTCGACTCGACTAAAGTTGTTTATTTATGCATATATGTTTTAAATATTCAAATATCATTTTAAAAAATGAGTCAAGAATACATATATAAAATCTAACTTAAACACAAACTGAAAATCAGTTCAGACAATATTAAAACAAGTAAGTGCTTAACCTCAAATAAAACCTAACCACAAATATAAAATATAGTTTTCCTAGACACATAGTTATGCTTGTGATTATTCTAGAGACAATGTTTTTTCTACAAAAAAATTTTCCATTATACTTGAATTATATATTTTAAATTGATTTTTAAATTTTTTTTGGTTTTGTTTGTATTTAAATATATCTTAAATATAAAATGAACCGATAACACAAATATATAATGGTAAGTGAATGCAAATTTTATGGTTTATTCATGATGAACAAACTAAAATTATTTATACCCAATTTTTTGAATTTTCATAACTGAAACTTATATTCAAGAAAGCAGGCTACATGAATAAAAGTTTAATTAAATTTTTTGATATAATCAAATAGTCTTTTATCTTGTTCATTCAAGTTTTTATGAATTTTTTACACCTGATTTTTTAAAAGTTGTAGAATAATTGAATTATCGTCTCCAATCTTAAAAACAAGGCGACAATCGGTTCTTTTTGGTTTAGTGATAAAATAGATTTATCTATCTAATTATATTTACAGTTATGTAATAAAAAAAAAATCAAATTTTAAGCTATAATATCTTTCACTTTTTTTTTTGTCTTTCTTGCATTAATAATATCTTTCCATATATATCTTAATTACCATTTTTCTTTCTGTGGGCCGCCATGAAATCTTCCTGAAAAACCCTTCGATGAGACTGTAAAACTCATTTTGTGAAACTCAAGGGAGAGAATTAATAATACAGTGACGTTCTCTAATTTATATCAAATTTGGGATGGAGTTTACCTTAAAATGATAAAAAAAGTCAACTGATATGGATTCTGTCAATGTGTTCTGACATATATTCTACTTACTCTACCCGCACACTTCCAAATTTGCTTTCACACGCTGATGTTTTTGAGTTCATGTTGCATGTTTTAGAGACGCTTCCTGTCCATGAAGCAATGGCGATTACGGCCTTGGGAAATATATACGCTTTTAAATGATCAAGATATATGCTTTTATCTCAAATGAACTAAATTCTTGAATTTAATTTTCCCGTTAGATCATTCGAAAATGATATAGGTCTTGCCAACAAACATGTTGGGTAATTGACACGGGACCTTTAATTGTTCTAAAGCTTTCTCAATTTGTATTTGTGTATTTTTATCAGCGAAGTGGATCAAGATCTAAGTAGAATGGTCAAAACCTATAGGATGGTGTTGTGTTCCAAATAAAAACAAATAAAAAATCAAATACAATACTGCAAAACAACAAACAGAGAAAGATATATATGGAAATGAACATGGAAAGTATCTGAAAACTGGTTTCATACCAACGAAGATGTGAATATGAATCCAAATTACATTAGAGATCAAAGATTAAATATATACTAAAGATGATCTAAAGTTATACTATGAGAGAAAATAATACAAATGTATATATATATATATATATATATATCTTTCTCCCATTAACCGATGATCTAATCGAATATCTTCCTCAACCAAATCTCTCCGAAAACGTGTTTAATAAGAAAACAAAACAACGCATGGTTTATTAGGCTCTAAATATTTTCTTTAGCGATCATTTTCCCAGAATTCGTGTGTCTGAAAATCAAAAACAGAAAAGTTGTGTATATGAATACCTAGGCATGTTCTTGGCAAGAGAAATAGTATCCTAATGGAAGTGGTTGCTCTCAGCAAGATGTTGCGTAAAGAAAATGTGTTAGCTCCCGCACGAATCACCTATACAAACATACATCCATACCCAACACATTATTAATACATAACATATATAGCAAGATTTTTTTTTATTGTAAATTTCCTTTATTAATAACCCCTTATTACAACTCATAAACAAAAAAGAACTCTTCAACTGGCTGGTAAATACAAGGCGCCAAGTAGATAAAAAGGTCACAGTGGAGGGGAGATTCCTCTGCTCTCTAGATAAGATGTCCATCTTTGCCTTGAGGAGACGTTTAATCTCCAAAATGAGCGAAGCTGCCGGATTATGTAGCCTAGAGTTACGCTCTTTCCAAATCATATAGATGGAGGCTTGGAACCGGATTATGTACATTTACAGTTCTGTGGATAGAGTTATACCGGTGGGGCAAGCCGAGTCATTCATTGTAGAGCAGAGGAAAGCAGGACACGAGGTCAGTGCCTGCAACTTCATACCTTCACCTCATGTAGACCATTTCAGGAGTAACCCAGTGCTTTATACATCTGAGCTCAACCATTTCATGGAAAACTTTGTCCTTGCTTGCTGCAACCATTCTTCATAGATCCACACTAGTGTCGTTGTTGTTGCTAACTTTTATTCTCTGGGGTTATTTTTATCTCCATACAGAGAAAAGAAAAAGACTGCTTGATGATTGCACCCCATTTGTATTTTGATTCATGCTTCTCTTGTCAGGGTCGTGATATTCCTATTGTCCATCGAGTCATTAAGGTACGTAACATTTTCTCTAGATTTCCTTATTATCATCTCCCGGTCCTTAGATTAACACCTACATGATTTTGATTCTTTGGGGTTCATTACATTACAGGTTCACGAAAGGGAACATACTAGAGAAATCGATGCAAGTTGTTTATGATATTGTTATTATTCAACCCCATTCTCATTTTCATTTCTATTGTTTCCAGGTGACAAAAACCGTAGATATGATAGAATTCTCTATGCTAAAGGTCAGCTTTGGCTTCACAACATCATATAGTGGGTCGTGCTGTCGGGTAAGTAACCACATATTGGTATAGTGCTTAAACCAAAAGCTGTATTTACTCATAAATTATTTTACCTTTTTTTTGTCTGCTTCAGCTTCTTGCCTTATGTTGGATGGGTTACTATAATCATGACAGAAAATACTGTCATCTAGGTTAATAGTTAATACATTTTCTGTTCTTATTGGTGCATTGGGTTTACTCGTTATATCGTCCAAAGACTGACTGAGTCTTTTTGGAAAGGAATGGACTCTGCATGCAAGCCTTTTGATTGATCATCCTCTGGTCTTTGTTGTTTCAATGGGAAAAAAAAGAAGATGTCATTGTGGGTCAGACCAGTTTAAATTAGTAGAATCAGAAAGCTAATTTTTAATCGTGGAGATTATTAGATTACCTTAGCATCTAGATTTGTTTTTCTTATAAAAAGACTTTCTGAAAAAAGTTAGTATCAAATCAAAACTTAACAACCTAAAACCGAAGGAGTCTTTTGAGAACTTTCATTATAGATGACCAAATTTTGGCATGGAAAATTTGAAAATTTGATTTGTAACCAAATCGGAAAACGAATTGAATCCGAATAAAAACCCAAATCCGTATCTGATCGCTAAAACTCTAACTATTGGAAAATAAATAGGTCAACTCAAGAGTAATATAAATTAAAAATCATAATGAAAGGTATAAGTACAAGATTTTTTCTATCTTTGAACATGATTGTTTATAACTATTAAAGATAAGGATATAATTAAAAGGGGTTTACATCTTTGTTTTTTATCTTTTGGTTAAGGTTTGCCCATCTAAAGGTTGATACCACCAGTCACGAAAGTCGCTCCCTTATCCCCTTGAAGACCTCTGTACCGTCGGTATCACACGATCAATCTTCGGTTCATCATCCCGGTTCATAACACCATGATTCTTGTTAACCGGTAAAATTGGCAGCACAGAGAGTCCAGCTATATAATACTCTGTCATATCCAGTTGTGGAGCCAAGGGAGAAGGGAAAATCTGAGAGCCCGAAAAGCTGAAAGGCGTTCTTCCCGACTGAGACATTGACGAACCAAGTTTATTATTTGTACCAGATTTTATTATGCGTTCAGGTGGTGGAACGTGCTCATGTAACCCATTGTATGTCGCCACCACTAACTTCACATCGTCTGCGCTTCTCTGCACATGTTTCTTCACGTTACACCCAGTGTATGTGCATCTGTAGTATTTCCTGCGATTACCATTTACACGAAAATAAGTATATTATTTTGGCCAAAATGCCTGACTAATTTAGAAGTGAAAGAAATATAATACCTCGGATTTGTATTTCCTTTGAGATTTTTCATGCCATATTTTCTCCAGCGAAAACCATCTTCAGGATGGTCTTTTTCGCTTTCCACCAGAATTATGACCCTTTCGGTTTTGTTTTGTCTTGTGACTCCCATCATGTTTTTCCTGTGAGAGAATTATGTAATTAACGTTAATTTTATTATTAGAGATATAAATTATGCAATTTAATTAAGATGTTAAGTTATTATTAAATAATATATATCATTCAATGTTAACTTGAGACCTTTTCTTTCGAGATGAAGGTTCGACAACAATATTGTTATCTTTGTTTTTGTCTTCCTCCTCCTCTTGGTTGTATTCTTTGTCCTTATCATTACTACCACTTTCAAAGAAGATGAGGTTCATAACATCCGTTTCAGCAACAATTTTAGAATCAAGAGAAGGGACTAAAGGAGCGCCAATGGACTCAGCATCATGAGATGTGATATAAACAGACGTATCTTCCGTTTGAATATCATCAGAGCCTGTTTTACATGTAAAAGTCAACAGTATATTCGGAAAATTGAAACTGGAAGCTAACTCAAGACACTAGAAATTCTATTACCTCCTTGAAGAGGCAGATCAACGTCCATCCGCTGATGAGGAATATTGTTGTTGGATATCATCATCGTTGCATGGGCACCACCTGAACTTTCCACCATCTCTGGAGGCCCATCATTAGGGATTGGACAAGGTGGGATAATCTGAAAATATAAGTTACCAAAGACATAAACATTTAGGTTTATCATATATTAATAATTATTTCGTGTAAGAGATCAATCTTAATCTTCTAAATGACATTGGTACTTACCTGTGAAGAAGAGTTAGGGTACATATTTGGGGACTGCAACAAGGGGGAGAGACTAAATCTTGGAGATATTACAAGGATAGGGGAAGGAACAAGAGTCACGTTCTTGAAAGAATCAGCAAATGGAATGACTCTCTCTATTTCCAACGGTGAAATATTTAATCCTCGTCTTGCAGCCAGTGTGTCGCCCAGACCACCAGATCTTTGTTCAGCCTGAGGATCAGCTGATATGTTGGTTTGAGGGAAGGTCTCACTGATCGGATTTAGACCATTGTTGTTTGGATCCAGCATTTCTAGTACCTCTCTGAAGCTAGGAATGGACAGTGGATCGGGATCAGACCAGATATCCATAAAGTTTTCATCATAATCACTCATTTTTGTTTGGGAGAAAATCCTAAAATGTCAAGAAAAACACAAAAAATCAAAAAAAAAGATCGTTGAAAACAAACAAGAAAACTATTTTGAATAAAACAAATGTAATGCAAAGGTGATATGATTTGGGAGATTTTAAATAATTGGCACCGTAATAAATAATTTATTTATAGATGTAAAGGGAAAACCGTTTTCTTCAAAGGAAACTATGTAATTTGTGTGCTACATAGAAAGGAGGTGGTCTTCTTATAATAAAACTCAACTGTTTCAGCTGGTAACAATTTTATGTGGTCAAACTTTAGTCATCCAAAAGTCAGCAATTCCTAAAATACATTAATTGCTATTTAGGTGGTGTTATTCAATCATGTATTTTAATATAATTTAAATCTAAATACAATCTATTGTTATTCAAATGATATTCTAAATTTTGTTTTAAAATTTAGTGTTATTCAATGAATGATTTAAATTTAGTTTTTAAAATCTAGTGTTATTCAACTTTTTAAATTTTAAAATTCTTTGTATTTTGAATTGATTTCAAATCATTTCATATAGATTCTTATGAACAAATGAATAAATTCAAAATCCAAGGCATACTATAGAGATTTTAAGAATCTATAAACTTAAACTTTCTTAAAATTTTAAATTTTGATGTATTACAAAACATTTTTAATTGATTTAAAACCACTCATTGAATAACACTTCCTTACTTTTTTTTTTTTGGCTTTTATGAAAGAAATATATTTTGGTCCCTTTTTTTTATCAAAACTATACCAAAAGCCAACTACACTACAAGATTCAGTTTTTCTTTTCCCATATATTATATATAGTAAGAAAAATAAAAATAATTTGTATAATAAAATTAAGTAAATTAATTTGTCATTGTCTATTAAAAATTATAATGATTTTTAAAGTATTTCATTTTTAAGCATGATTAGATTTATATTCTGTTATATAATAAAACTTATAATTGTATATTATTGATTTTTTTTTGTTTTTAGACTCTATAAACTAACTCGGTAACTCTGCATCCATATAAACGACAAAAGATGATTGCTTTCTGCACTATGCGCCAGACTGTCTGTCTTTTTATTCAGTGTTCTTGGGAAATGAATAATCGCTGAGTGCGTAAAACTTTCTTGAAGAATCTTAATATCATTCAGATAGTGTGCGAAAGCTGGCCATTCCTCCAGTGTTGATACAATCTTCATTGAATACAATCTGTCGCGAACGTAAAATTATACTGCCGTAAAATCCTCATGCTTTCCATTGTCCAAATGAGCGCTTCCATTTCCGAATGTAATGGCAAAATACTTGCGCTTGTATTAATTGCTATACCAACCTTGTCCCGAGAATGGCTCCTTTGTTTCCCACGAGCCATTCGTAAAACACCAGTGACATGGAATCGAAGATAGTGTAAATTCCTCCATTTGTCGTAATTGGTCCTTTCCACTTGTGACCTTAATCTGAGCTTCGGCCCAAAGTAAAGATTCCGTCTCTGCCAATTCTAGGATTTCTCTCGGATCTACATCAATATTACTAAAAACCTTATTATTCCGGCTTTTCCAAATGTACAACAAAATTCACGCAAACTGATGATCTTCCATATATGGGGATGCCCGCCAGTATTGATAGTCAATATTGGTGAATAGTGCATGTGAAGGAAAAATGTCTGGATGCAATGGTACTCTCGAAAAATTCCATACTTGGACCGCCGGGGTCATTCAAAAAATACATGATTAATTGATTCTTCATGGGCACCACATCTTGAGCACTGCACATCTCCTTGCATACCTCGACTTTTCAAGTTTTTCTTTACTGAGATACAACCTGAGACCAACTGCCAGAGAAAATGTTTCATCTTTGGTGGGCATCGAGTCTTTCAAGCTTGAGATTTTAGCGCAGTAACTGTGGGTCTATATATCGGCAAAGATCTTTCCCTATCTGGGTAAACCCTCTCCACCTGATAACCGAAGTTTACCGTATATCTCTCATTTAGAGTGAAATGCCATCCATCTTGATATGTTTGCCTATGCCTACTTAACGGTATGCTTTCAATAATCTTTGCATCCTCCAGATCCACCAATGGATGTATGACCTGAGAATTCTATGTTCGTGAAATTGAATTGATTAGAGAATCAACCATGAGATGTGGGTAGCGATGGTTGTTGTTTGCTGGTCTCTGGTGAGTGGTTGGGAGCCAGGAGTCATTCCATATTGATATAGATGAACCTGATCCCACCCTTTTGATTAGTCTTTTGCTAACCAGAGATCTAGCAGATACCATACTACGTTATCCATAAGATGGAGAGTATGATCGGATCGATTCCAGGGATGAATCATTTCAAAAATATCGACCTTTGAAGACTCGAGAAAATAATGTATTAGGTTTCTTGATCAAACGCCAAAATTGCTTTCCTAACATAACCGTATTAAAATCCGATATATCTTTGAAACCTAGTTCTCCTTCATCTTTCCCCATGCATAGTTTATCCCAGGATTTTAAGTGCATACCTCTTGTAAACCATGTATTTTTTTTGTCATAATTGTAAACCATGTATTTATTTTAGGTTATTATCAATACTAGATCTTTTGGTCGCGCTACGCGCGGCTAGTCTTTTAAACACAATTTTGAATCATATTGTTTATATATATATATATATAATATTGTATAATTAAACTTATAATTATAAACAAAAGAAATAGAATGTTAAATTAAAGGGATAATTTGCAAAATACCCTATTTAGGATTTGAAATTTGAAAAATACACTGTCTTTAATTTTTATTTTAAACTACACTTTCTTAAGTTTGAATTTACCTTTTTTACCCAAATTTGATATTTCAATAATTAAGATATAAATTCAAGATTAATAAGAGCATTATAATTATTTTTTTCAAATATAAATATGTTATTCTACGATTTTAAATTTTTCAATAACAAAGATATTATAAAATAAATAAATTATGATTTTTCTTTATCATTAAGTTTATAGAGATTTTATTTTTTTTTCTTAATTTTATATAAACAATTCATGTTGCATTCTCTACAAAATTTTCATTTTTCCTTGAAGTCGTCATCTACCGGGCCCAAGTTAGTTCTAATATCATGTATTCACATATGTGTTTATTTTGTTTTACTTTAAATATGAAGAAGAAGAACACTAATTATCATTCATCAATTTGGCTTGTTGCTTTTTTTATGTGACATGAAAACCTATAAATCTGTTTAAACAAATGATTTGATTTGTATATTTTACAATTTGTTTTATTTTATGTTTTTTATATAGAGATGAAGTACATACAAGATTCAAAAATAAAATAATGGAAAAAGAAAGGCAGAGAAATACCAAACACATAACAATATTTAAAGTCACAGAAACAAATGGTGTTGCTTGCATTGGAGTTTTGTCAAAAGATTACTCTCCTAAAAGGAAAAAAAACAGAAATATTTTCAAAACAAAATAGAAGCAGAATTAGAAACTGAAATCTTATTCATGAATCATCAAACTTCTTGATGAGATGAGAGGAAGAATCTGTGAAACTAGAGAAAAATGAGAAACAAATTTCAGAAATAGAAACAATACGATGAGACGGCATTTTAAGTTCTTTTATGTTTTTCAAAATAATAAAATAGTTAACACATATTAAAAATATGGGAAATATAATGTGTAGATATATTAAAAAGATATTATGTATATTGTCTAACGATTTTTTTTAACAATTTAAAAAAATATATATGTTAGGAATTGAGAAATATTAAGATTGGACAATTTGGTAAATTTATATATACATAAGTGTATTTTTCCAATAACTTAAACATTGGTGTATTTTTCAAATTATAATCTTATTTGAGTGCATTTCTCCAAATTTCCCTAAATTAAATAGAAAATATAACGATTGACAAAATCATTGTAGTTGTAATTAAGAGTTTCATAAGTAATACCAACAATAAAAAATTGTTTTTACAAAATATAGATTTTTAGTTTTTTTTTTTAACAGAACCCTCATTTTATTTTTGGTATAAATAACGTACATAATAATTACTGTAATATTTTAATCTATAGTTTTATATTTTCTATCTTTAAGATGTTGGTAGAAAATAATCACTATTAAAATCTAAAAATTAAGTATATAAAATGAATTTCTTTTATTTAAATTTAAAATGATATTATATAAATTTAAGATTGTATATATTTTGTTTTTATAAATAATGCCTATTTATTCTATTTATTTATAAACTGGATGATATTAATTTATCCTTGCCATCAATGTTTTGAATACCAAACCGAACATTGACTTGACATTGCAGTTAGGTCAATGGTCACACCGGTCCAACTGGGTTGTAAATTTAGTATAGTTTTAAGTTAAGTATCTTTATATATGTATAGTTATAAAATTATTTTTATAAGACTTTGTATCATTGTTTGAAGCTAAAATGATATGGAAATAAAATGAAAACTTTCAAAACAATATAAAATATAATGAAAAATAATTTATATAAATAGATATTAAAAACAATACATGCTTATGAAAGTTTTTTAAAAATTTGTATTTTTAACTTGAATTTGAAAAAAAAGGTTTAATATCAAACTAGACCATCGGTTTTAGTGAGTAACCAGTTCTTAAACCAAATTTGTTGGTTTTTATCACAACTCAAAATTTTTTAGAAGAGAAAGAATCATGATCTAACCAGCCGGTTCCGGTTTTTAAAACACTTCTTGTCACAGAACATCGCTTTTAATAACAAACAACAAAATCATTTGAGTAGACATATTTTTATTATGAACTTATGTCAAAAACCTATACATATTTAACCAAAGTTGTTATTTATTGTTTAACTATTTAAAAAATAATTGCCATCTTTTTTTTTTTTTTTTTTTTCAAGTTTCCAAAGACTATGCAATACGAAAGAAATTGTATGAATGGAATAGATCAAAATATAACTTTATAACAAAGACATATAAATTTGTGTGACCACCATAATTATACATTTAAGAAAAGATAGTCATTTAAACTTGAGAAAATGAATCTTTTTTTTTGTTTAAAAGGAAATGATAATCTAGTATATAAACTTTCATGGTTGAGTTTTTTGACTCAATTTGCATAATAGTCTATATTTTGTAACGAACTTATGTATTTAAATAAATGGTTGAAATTGTAATAAACAAATATTTTTGAATATCCTTTATGTCCTATAATATTCGATTTCGTTTATGTTAAATTCGGACCCGTCCTTCAAATATGGATTTCCTGTTAGAATTTTTTTTTTACTTTTATTTATTTATTATTATTAGTATTATTATTATTATTATTATATCATTGATAAAACAGATTATAATATTATTTCTTATTTTATAAAAAATAACTGAATATATTAATGTATAATAATAATTCATTGCTAATAACAAAATTAGTGAATTATTTACATAAATTTTTAAAATTAAGATATTTTAAATTATTTTTCAACAGGTTTGTTAGAATATATATATATACAATGACGAAATTTAGTGAAAACATTTACAGATAATTTTTATATTATATATATATATAAACTAATGACAAAATTTAGTGAAAACATTTACAAATAATTTTTTTTTAAAATAATATATTGACAAAATATTTTGAAACAGATTTTTTCAATTTTTTCAATTTTTTAACTTTTAATATTTAAAATGATAAGATATGAATAGATATTATGATAAGTTGATAATTTGTTAACAAATCCGGTTTTGTTGGAGTCGATGGTTATATTATGAATGATATATTATCATTGAGCTATATTATTAGTAATAAATGAATAATAATTGATTTCTTGTGAGGTTTCATTTTTTTAAAAAAATCACACCTAAATTGAGGTTGTGACTTCTGTTCTAATATATAGGATTCAAACAAAAAAAATCAAAAAGTTCTCAGCTTCGACTATACAAATGTTATAATCATACATAAGACATTTTACATAGTCTGGTAGGTGTTGACCGGAAATTTAACCACCGGAGATTCATCCGCCATATCGGAGGCGTCAAAGCTCTTCGCAACACCTCTCTGCTTCCAACACTATTCACTTGGCACCATAAACCCGTGCCGTACGCACTTGGTCGAACCAGGCCGTCTTGAACACGTGCAAGCGTGTCGAACTGATATCTCATGTTTTATAGATTTTTAACATCTTCTCTTAGTTCATATTGATCATGTTGTTTGCATTTAGGTGTCTACATTGCATATATTTGTTCATTTTTGTGCATTAGGGTTTGGAGTGACCAATTGGAAGCTTTGGGTGACATTGGAGGGTTATTTCTGCAATTTAGAAACAGCTGGGGCCAAAACGAAATAAGAAGAAAATGCAGGGACCAATGGTGCAAAAATCCAGAATACTCAGGGGTCTATTTTCACAATCAAAAGTTAAGGGTAGAATTAGAGATGTTTCTGCAATTTACAAAGTATTGGGCTAGTTTCTGAAGAACCAGAAGGCCAGGGACCTGTTTTGTAAATAAGCAAGAGTCTACCATTCGAGAAGAACGAGCCTCCTCATCGCTGGATATCGAGACGGCAAGGCTTGATTCCGGTATAACAGAAGCCACGGTGGAAGAAGACGAAGATGGAAGGCCGTGGTGAGGAGTTTCGCCGTGGCTGATGATTACAGCGAATGTCATGACTTTAATGAATTACATATATTCTCTTTTTTTTTTGTCTCAACATCAACTATTCCATTCACCAATAAATTGGTACAAAGATTTTAACCACTCTGGTTTTACCACACATACAACAATACATCTTAGCAAAACCTTGGAACATTCACTAGGTGATTTCTCTCTCGGATCTAACGCAACCTAAAGTACAATGCTGCATTTTTCACCATTGTGAGAACAAGATCATCCCACGATCCGAAATGAACCGTCCCCTAAACCACTAAAATTTTACCTCAATACAGGACAATATGACATAATGAACTAAGCCTATACTTGATACCGTTCCATACTCAAGCTACTAGTAACATCAACACCTTAGGCACGTAATCAACTTCAGCACAATCCACCAGTTGTCAAAGTCTTGATCTTTCAACCACAAAACCGGACATTAGGCCCGGACTGAAAACTCAAATTTCAATAGCTAAACCGGACTGGTTTTGGAGTTACTAGCTTCCAGAAATGTAGAGCACAAACCGTCGGACCGAGACATAGCTCAGCTGCGACGCTGGGATGAACGGCTCCTCCATGTACGCCTTCGAGGTCCGATCCTCCGATTGACCACTCCGTCGTTACAAGACCCCGGTTGATGTTGCCTCTGAGAACTGGACGACAAACCTCTTTTCGCTAAACTATCAGATCTCTCCTCCACCAGTCTCACCTCCACTTGTGATGGGAGAACAGAGGTAAAAGAGGCGCCTAACCGCGTCACACGCCGCCATTGAGAATGACCCGTCATAGATCTTGAAAAAGGAAAATTAGATCTGACGGTCCAAAAATCCTAAAAGCCGACCCTTTTCTTCTATGTCGCTCCATAGGTCTCGCCGCTGCTCCAGATATGACCTGAGATTGTCTCCGTCGAACTTCAGAAGATTCTCGGGATAGATCCCTTCAAACCAGAACCACTTGCATGTTGACAGAGGAGAGAAGGAAAGAAAAGAGCAAATAGAAAATGAGAAGGGTTGGAGGAGAGCCTCCGGTATTGACGTGAGCTGGACCGGAAAAAGCAAGGAAGAGTATCGGCGGTTTCTTAGAGAGAAGGAGGAGGTTTCTTTTTCCTGTTTTTTTATTCTTTGGTTTCTTTTCCTTCTTATTTGTCTCCTGAATTACATATATTCTTCTCAGAATTGTTTCTATCTAATGAGCCTAAGACCATGTCCAACGCTGGTCTTTAATGGGTCCTTAGCGGGAGAACCTATGCAATTGGGCATAAAATATTATTAAAGCCCAAGAATTTTGTAAGGATTAATCCTTATAGAAGGATTATAAGGATCAAATCCTTACTGACCTGGCACATGCTTCGGCAGGTATACCCTTTAAAAAAAAAAAAATCATTCGCGACAAGTTAAACAAAAAAAAAAAGCTCTGGCGATTGTAGAAGCGATTTCGAAGACAGAGCATCACCACACGATTTCGATCGTGATGGTCACAAATCTGGTCTCAGATTTGGTAATAAAGATTGTCACTTTAGATCTTGATTCTGTGTAATTGAATGGAAAATTTTCAATTTTGGAAAAGTTTCAGGAAGTGAAACGGTGAGACAGAACACACACACACACAAACACAATGGTTGCAATGGCTATGGTTGGTCAATTGACTCTCTGTGTCCCCTCGCCGTCACCGAGAGTGAAGTCAGAAACTTGCAATTCAAACTCCTCTCCAACCACCGTTAACTTACGCTTTGAGCTATCCGCGTTTCGTCCTAGATTTCTCCTCTTTCTGTAAAGATCTGTAAGTGAGTGTTTAGGGATTTATTCTGTGTAAAATGGACATGGGGGAAGGGAAGGAAGTAGTTTCTCTTGAAACTCTGAGTAAGAAAATGGATGATTTTGCAAAGGCTCGAGATTGGGAGAAGTATCACAGCCCAAGGAATCTACTTTTAGCAATGGTATCTTCTTTCACTCCTTTGATTTAGCTGTAAATCTCAAGTTAGTGTCTTTATATCTTCCAGTTAACGATACACCTAGTGTCACATGAAAACTGAACTTGGGTCTTGTCTGATAAACAAAAAAAAGTGGACTTCTTTTGCTATGAGATGGAAACTCTTTTTCTCCTGATCTTGTCTTATAAGCTGATCTTAGCTCCATGAAATTTGATTCTTTTGTATGTAATTAAGCTTCTGTTTTGAATTTTTTCCAGGAGCAAGTTGAGGAGACTTACATTATGGTCAAACCAGACGGCATTCAACGAGGCCTTGTAAGTTATTTAACTTTGGAACCTTTATAGAGCTTTGAATGTTTATTTGCTATATTGGCTTGAAGTTTTTTTATTGATGTATCTTTAAGGTTGGAGAAATCAGCTCTCGTTTTGAGAAGATAGAGAATACATAAAAAGAGACAATCTTGATTATGTGGTGAATACATAAAAAGAGAGAAGAGGAAGATGATTCATAGCAGAATTGATATCAATTATCAAGTGATGATAAACGTTTCCAGGTGAGATCAAGGTAAGATCACAACGACATAGTGGATAAATAGGTATTATGTATATTGATATAAAGTGGTAATGCTTTACATGATCAATACTTTCTCAGTTGATAGCTAGAAGCTATAGGAAATAAGATTTGTTAATCATTAGCTTACACAGATGTTTTCTCTGTACTGTATATGTGGATCTTATTCTACAGTTTTCTCTTAACATTTAATAGTGTTTCTTGTGGTCATACAGCTCCAAAGCTTTGACTAAGTTGTCCAAGAAGAAGAGAGTATCATCATCAGCTATCACAAACCATCTTGTGTCTTTGTTGGCAATGTTGAACGACTCATGGAGTGATTGAAAAAGGCGGATCTGAGTCTTGAACTTTTGCGTTTGTGATGGATGAGTCTTTGTTAATTATGAAAGAAGGAGATTGTTGAGGCCAAGGCAAGAGGTCACGACCAGGTGGTTTTTCTAGAAAGACATGTCCTCTTGTTATGTTTGATCACAAGATTCTTTCTACCCACTTCTGAATGAAACAACACCCCATGAATCGACAAGAAAACGTCAACTCGTTGCGGAGTAAGTTAGGGTGCATTTCTACAAGCTCTGATTTAAATTTTAGTTATATTTTTGAAAAACTCTAAATTACTACTATCATGATATTCATACTTTAGGAATGAAGATGCCTCAATCACGTTTTAAATTTGAATTTACATGTTTTTGTGCTTGTTTTTTTTTTTTGGAAAATTGGTTTTCAGAATTCATCATTTACATTTTATCATTCAATAAATTAAAATTTTAAATTTACATGTTTTATAATTTTATTATTTTTTTAATACTTAAGGATTTCATAATAGATAACACCATTGGAGCAACATTTGTTATTAGAAGTCCTTAACTATTCTAAAAAAAAAAAAAAAAATTATTAATCTAATCTTAAGGACTCCAATGGTAGGTAACACCATTGGAGATGATCTAACGGGCCACGATAATGTTGGAATATATAAAAAAAATTACCAACATTTACACTTCATCTGTGACTTGGCAAAACAACATATTTATATTGGTTGATTATTTTTGCCTACGTGGATAGCTTCCGTGAGCCTTATATCTCTTTTTATTACTTGTTTGATTTTAAAAATGATCAAAGACAAATTAGTTTTTTGTATTATTAAAATTTTGGTAATTTTTTGAGAGTGGCTACTTAATAATATTAATTGTAAACCAAAATATTTTCGTTCATTTTAGTGGTTATAGAACGCCATCAACAATAGCATGTTAGACTGTTATGATACGTAGTTGATCACTTGCACTTGCACATGCACATCCACAGTTACATATTATTCAGTATTTCACATTAATGACTTGGTATTAATAGGCTATAAAATATTATCCAGTGTGAAAATATTCCATATTTCTTTTTGTAATGTTTAAATTCTTCATCATATATTTTACCACTACTAGTCGAAGATCTGTACCTTATGCAAAATGATATTGTATATTAAAATATTTTTGTACATATTATTACCTATTTTATGATTCTTACATATTATAAAAGTAACAGAGTAAAAAATAATATATATATATATATATTAAATCATTGAAAACAATAACTTGGCGAAAACATAAAATCAATCACTTTTAGTAATTTACAATCATTTTCTGATAAATAAATGTAAACAAAACCTTTTATATATTTTGTATAGATATACTTAAATTAGAATGATATTAATATAGATATGTGTTATATTTTAATATTGATATCTATTAAATAAATTTTCTTAATCATATGGTGTTATGATTATCTGTAGCTTTTTAATTATAACCAAAATTAACCCCATGAGGATAAATTTTTCAATATATGATTTTAATAATTTAAATAATTTATATGGTTCTTGACTGTAAATTTAAAAATTAAAATTTTAAGCTATCAATTTTTGTTCAATGCAAATTTAAAATTAAAAATTTCCTCTATTTTTATACAGTATATACTTTAAGATCTATATATATATCTTATTTTGAAAATCTATTAAATGAATTTTTTATTCAAATGGTTTTATGATCACTTGTATTTATTTAAGATAAAAAAATTTAAACCTTTGATCACAAATTTTTTAATTTTGAACTTTTAATAGATTTAAAATTTATAGTCACTAAAAAATAAAATTATAACATATAGGATAACTGAAATTTTTTTTATTATATGATTAACGTGATCGTTTATATTATGTTAGTGATATAAAATTAAACTTAGATGATGAAGGATGCACAAATTGCTATCAACGATTTATTATTAATTTATACTTTAATTATCATATTAAGGGTGAATTGGCCTAAAATACATAAAGAACTTGGATATTAGGAATATGCCATGGTTTTGGGGGAAAAATAGTGAGAGGGGGGGGGAGGAGAGATAAGAGAGAAAAAGGGTAGATAGTTAATTTAAGGGTTTAGTTTGTATATGGGATGCAATACTCAAATATTAATTGTATATTATTAATTAATTTTATGATGAAAGAACTATATTATATATTAAATGTACCATCATATTTTCTAGAGATTTTGAGAACATATTTTCTTGATAACACGTGGCACAGTTAAAATATTATAGTGCTACTCCTTTAATACATAGTAGAAACTCTATAAAGTAGTATTGAATAAATTAATAAATAATATAAATTAAAATATTTATCCGGTCTCAAGTTGGACCAGTTCAAAATATGACGATAATCGAAAAATATAACTAGATAACATTTTTAAATAATTTTGAGAAAATTCTATGTAAATATAAGATCTCATTAAAATATAAATTAATAATTTATATTTATACATATTTTATGTAAATACAAACCTCTCATTATATAATTGTCTTTATATTTTCTAAAACTTAATATATTTTGATGAGATTTAGAACTTATATCTAATGTCTCATTTAAATTGTATAAAATATATTTTATACACACCAGATAGTATAATCAAACAATTAAAAATTTCAAATAAAAAATAATTAATGTATATATACTAAGATCAATTAATTTTCTTATTTTGTAAACATATATCTTAAACAGAAAAATCTAAATAAAGATTTTTTTTGTAAATTAATAACTCTCAAAATTAATAAATACCACAGTTCCAACATTATTAATTTATAGATTTTTACTGTAGAAGGTATTCTATAAGATTTTTTTGTAAAAATGAAATAAAAACATAAAATAGAATAAGACTTCGATACAAGTTGTCTAGGTTAATGGTGCTACCTCCTTTTTGCCTTTTTTTTTGTTGTTAAATATGTGAAAATCATGTCTTTGTAAAAGATTACAAAAACCAACAGCTAAACAAAGTGAAGTCTGTAGCCAATTTAGTAGTCTTGAAGTTTTTTTTCTTTTTGGCTAAGAATGTAAATATCATTTCAAGAAATGAATTTACATTCTTAGCCAAAAAGAAAAAAAACTTCAAAAAGATTACAAAAACCAACAGCTAAACAAAGTGAAGTCTATAGCCAATTTAGTAGTCTTGAAGATTTTTCTTTTTGGCTAAGAATGTAAATATCATTTCAAGAAATGAATTTAAGGTGTTGCAAATTGTAGATGGGGTGACCAAAGAAGCAGAAGTATAAATTCTTTTCATTTCTACTGTAGATATGTGAACCACATTTTTTTTCGTAGAGCATTCTTTGTAAATGAGTTAAGCTGATGATCAATAAATAGAAAATTTCATCAAAAAAAACAAGCTTCATCTCCCCTCCGAAGCCTAACTACCTAATCCTAAAGCTAAGCAAAGCAGAAAGCGAAGATAAATCCACAAGATCCCCATAGACCGCAAAAACTGAATCGAGAATACTCCAAATACTCCAAAACCACAGCCACATTGAAACACCTAACAACACATCAACTCCTTCACAAAGGAAAAATAGAGAGCCACTACCAACAGCGACAAGCGAACACACCGGTCGCACTAGGATGCACAACTCTGAAACAATGGAGCCAACAAAGAGAAAGCGACTAGCTATACTCTAACCACTTTCGCCTTTGAGAACCAAAGATCAGTTTCAAAATGCAAAAAAAATGAAACAAGGGGTCATTGACCGGATATCCGTGAAGCAAAGAAGGAAAAGGTGCCCACCACGGAGAAAATAGCCGTCACTGCCGCTTCGAGGGCTAGGAGAATGGGAGGAATGAACGTCGGATCTACACTAACAGAAACAGAATAATGTGAAAATATCTTCATTAACTTTACTCAAATGTACAGTGTGTACTATATATACAAGTTAATTAAACTCTACTCTAACTGCTGTAACTACCATATACACGTATTGACATATACAATACTATAACTCCTGATATTCCCCCTCAAGATGGCGTTAGAAGATTATGAAAACTCATCTTGGACATGAACTTGTGGAAAATAGCAGGATAGAGAGCCTTGGTGAAAGGATCCGCAAGCTGGTTCTCGGATCAAACATGAAGCGTCTTAAGCTGACCAGCTACAATCTTCTCACGGACAGAGTGACAATCACGCTCTATATGTTTGGTTCTCTCGTGAAAGATGGGGTTCTTTGCAATGTGCAAAGCAGCCTTACTGTCACAGTAGAGTACAGGAACTGTCGGAGGAGCAACCTGCAAATCATTGACCATACGAGATATCCACATAAATTCCTTAGATCTATAGGCCATTGATCTGTACTCAGCTTATGCTGAAGAATGAGATACAGCATCTTGTTTCTTGGATTTCCAAGCGACTAAAGAGTTCCCAATGAATAAGAAAAACCCTGAGATAGAGCGTCGAGAGTCAGGGCAGTTGGACCAGTCGGAATCACAAAACACCTTGATCTGAAAGTCATCATCAACAGGGTAGAACAAACTCTGACCGATAGTTCCTTTGAGATAGTGAAGGATCTTAAGAGCAGCCTTGAAATCAGGAGCTCGCGGAGCAGAGGAGTACTGACAAAGCTTATGCACAGCAAAACAGATGCCAGCACGAGTAATGGTAAAATATAGAAGTTTCCCAACGAGCCGACGTTAGGGTTCAGCATCAGCTAACAGTTCACCATCATCACATGAGAGCTTGCTACTTGGATCCATGGGAATAGATGATGGTCGACAGTTGAGTAAGCCAGCATTAGTAAGCAACTCAAGTATATACTTGTGTTGACGTATAGAGATTCCAGAAGCTGATCGAGCAATTTCAAGGCCAAGAAAATACTTGGGTGTACCAAGATCACGAACCTTGAAACATGAAGAAAGTTGTTTGATCAGAGAAGCAACAGAAGGCTCTGAGTTGCTGGCAATGAGGATGTCGTCTACATAAACAAGAACAATGAGGAAGACACCAGTAGAATGTGACCAGAAAAATGTATGATCTCCATTGATTTTCTCAAAACCCATACGAAGCAGAGTAGAGGAGAACTTCAAGAACCATTGTCGGGAAGCTTGTTTGAGACCGTAAATGGATTTCTTGAGCCTGAGCACAGCATTTTGTGGTAGATTTTCCCCCTTTCTCTCTGCATAGCCTTCGGGAAATTCCATGTAAATCTCTTCAGAGAGATCACCATTGAGAAAGGCACTGGATATGTCAAGTTGATGAAGAAACAATTTATTTTTAGCGTCTAAGGCAAACAACATTTTGACAGTAACCATTTTAGCAACAGGAGAAAAAGTATCAACATAATCAACTCCCTCTTGATGCGTATAACCCTTAGCCACCACACGTCCTTTAGGGCGTTCAACAGTGCCATCTGCGTTGAGCTTGAGCTTAAATATCCATCGACAACCAATGGTCTTCTTACCAGCAGGCAGAGAACAAACTGACCAAGTATCAAGGCTTTCTAAAGAGTCAAACTCGTCGTCCACAGCCTTACATCAGAATTTGGACTTCTTCGAATCGTTAAAAGTGGAAGGTGTGGTGAGAACAGAGGAATTGATAAAAGAAAAATGAGAAGAAGAGAGTTTATGATAAGATAAGAAATTAGATATAGGGTATAGAGAGAGGATAGAATTTCACAGGTAGTCTTGCAAGTAAGTAGGTTTCTATAGCAAACGAGACACAATCGCAGAAGGCAAACCTGCTTCAGAGGATGAAGAGGCAGTGCCTGAAGTTTCACCAGAGGATGATGGTACAGAAGGTACACTATCATCAGGACGAGCAAGACGCGGAAAGAAAGCTTTTGCGGCATCAGGAATAGAGGAATCCGCAAAAGGAAAGATGGTTTCATGAAATATGACATGCCGGGAAATGGAAATGCTATTAGTTTCAAGATCAAGAACACGATAACCCTTATAACCCGTGGGGTACCCTAGAAATATACAAGCCTTTGCTCTTGGATAAAAATTTGGTTCTACCTTTGACAGAGGTACTTTTATAACAAAGACAACCAAAGCTTATAAGGGAATGATAATCGGGTAGTTTGTTCATAAGAATCTGGTAAGGGGATCTATGATTTAGAACAGGTGAAGGAATACGGTTAATGAGAAAGACAGCTGACATAATACACCCCCCCCCCCAATAGACTAATGGAACAATGGATTGAAAAAGGAGAGCCCTAGCAACGTTATATGTTGGTGTTTTCTTTCGACTACTGAGTTCTGTTGCGGGGTTTCAAGGCAGAATGAAAAGAAAGGATACCTTTGTCTTTAAAAAGAGATCCAAAAGTCAACACAGGAGCATTATCAGTCCTAACAGATTTAACAGTTGTACCAAATTGAGTTTCAATCCTTTTGATGAAAGCAGGGAAAACAGACAAAACATCAAACTTCGCTTTTAACATGTAAATCCAGGTGGCACAACTATGATCATCAACTATGGTTAAAAGGTATCTGAAACCTTCATGAGTTTGAATAGAAAACGGACCCCAGACATCAATGTGAATCAAATCAAAACAAGCAGCACTAATATGATTACCAGAAGGAAACGATAAGCGCCGTTGTTTAGCTTGATGACAAATAGAACAATGAAAAGAATCGGTTTTCTTATTCTTATTCAATGATAAAAGATCAGACAGAGTATCTATCTTATCCATAGTAGGATGACCTAACCGAGAATGCCACACATGGTTATCAATTATAGAAGCACAAATGACAGTGTTGTGATCATTAGGAAAAGGAACAGGAATCAAAGAACCTGAATCAAGCACATAGAGGCTGTATATTTGTCTACCCTTGCCAATCATCAACTCCCGTGTAAGATCTTGAATGAAACAAGCACTAGACGTAAAACCAACCATAGAATCTGTATCTTTAGTCAATGAACTAACACTCAGTAAGTTGAAACGAAACTGAGGAATGAACAAAACATTTTTCAAAGTAATGTTATCACTAAGAATAATAGAACCTACACCAATAATGCGCACTGAGTTTCCAGTTGGTAAAGTGACAAAGGCATTGAGTAATAGTTTAAGGGAGGTGAATAAGGATCTATTATGACAGACATGATGGGTTGCACCTGAATCTATTACCCAAGAATCACTTGAAACTAAAGCATTTCCGGATGGGCGAGCTGAAGGCATGCCAATGAGAGAAAAAGTGTATAAAGGAAGGAACGTGACAGTCGCTTTGCAAGCCTCTGGTACAGCTGAAGAAGAAGGAAGAAGTCCATTTGATGTTGATGTATGACTCTGGTCTTGGAGTTGAGCACTGAAGGAGGCGATGAACTGTTGCAGTTGCTCAGGGCTTACGGAAGAAGGCAATGGAGAGCTTGTAGTCGTAGAAGATGACTGATGTTCGTCTGATGTCTCTGAAATGAGAGCATTTGCAGAAGCATTTGCAGAAGCTTGGCCATGCTGAGAAGAATTATTCTTCGGAGGATAAGATCTGCTGCGTGCTTTAAGTCCCGGTGGATATCCATGGACTTTGTAGCAGCGGTCAACAGTATGGCCAACACCTTTGCAGTGAGTACAGACAGGGCGAGGCTTCCCATATGCAGAGACCTGAAAGGTACTTGCATCAACTGGAGTCTGAGAGGACGTTCTAGCAGATCGCTGACTATCTTCTTGATCAAGGATGTTGTAGACTTCAGATAAAGTAGGAAGGGACTTCTTCATGAGTATTTGGCTGCGGATATGATCGTAACTGTCATTGAGCCCCATGAGAAAATCAATGACTCTATTACTTTCATTCGGCGCCAAGAGACCTTCAATAGTACGAAATGTAGCATTTATGCTTCCTTGACGAAGAGACTGCAGCTGATGACGAATTTTGTAGAGTCTTGGAAGATTGGATTTGTGAAATCGAGTGTGAAGATCATTCCAAATGTCCGAAGCAGCTTTGAAGTATAGAATACTTGTATATATTTGCTTCGAGACACTGTTAAGCAACCAAGACTTGACCATACTATTGCAGCGGCACCAAATCTTGTAGAAAGGATCAGTTTCAACAGGCATAGCAATGGATCCATTAATAAAACCTAGCTTGTTCTTCGCCTCTAAACTAGTAGTCATCGCAATAGTCCAGATACTATAGTTTGTTCCATCTAAAATCTCAGATGCAAAGACTAAGTCAGGATTATCAGAACTATGAAGATGATAAGGACTATGATGTTATCCGGAGAGTGAGATACCTCAAACGGTTTAGGAGGACGAATCACAGCTGGATTATCGAGATCTGGAAGAGGAGCAGCTGGATGTGAAGAACTTGAAGCTTCGCGATGAGGATCGGAGGTTAGAGATTCCAGATCCAGAGTAGAAGAGCGATACTTCGAGTTACACTTTCTCTTTCCCATAGTGCAAAATCAAAAGCCGAGAAGATCAGCAAACGTTGAGAGAACGGTGATTTTGAATCGGAGATGATGCGGAAGCGAGGAAGATGAAATCGATTGAGGAAAATGAAATCGATCAGTGAGAGAGAGGAGGATCGGAGAAGACGGTGATGAGAGGAGGTGAATAAAGACGATGATCGGAGAAGAAACGACGTCTGGTGATCGGAGATCGAGCTCAGCTCACACGCTCTGATACCATAACAGAAACAGAATAATGTGAAAATATCTTCATTAACTTTACTCAAATGTACAGTGTGTACTATATATACAAGTTAATTAAACTCTACTCTAACTTCTCTAACTATCATATACACGTATTGACATATACAATACTATAACTCCTGATATACACCGTCACGAACTGGAGGACACACCGAACAAGCTTCCCACAGTCAGTGCCAGGAGCATATCGACGAGAGACAATGATTGGTGAGAAAGAGCAATGAGAAAAAGATGGAGGAGGAACGCCTCTAGCACCACTACTCTTTCCAGCGTGCCGGAGCAAGACAACTTGAAGGAGATAAGGTTACAGGAGACGAGGAGAGAGAGAACTGAAAAAAGGATTTTGCATAGTTGAGGAAAAATAGTCTTTCTACTTTGCAACACCTAGTGATATTGAAGTTACTCACACTTTAACCACACTTGCATGAGGTTGCGAAAATGCTTCTGCTTCCTCTTGCTCATGATGGCGCATAACAAGAAAAACTGTATATATATGACAAATTAGTTACAAAACGTTTCTAGATGGCCTTTTTTTTTACCACAAACAGGTATAAAACAATCATGTCTTTTAAGAAAATTATAATTCATAGCTAGTATGTGAGTTTCTTAGTTAATAGTTAAATCTATATTTTGTGGCTTCTCAAAGAAAATGTGTCATGAAAAGCCACAACATAAAGATGTATTCATTTTCTATATTTGTTTTGCTAGTTCTCAACTCATTGTCTAAAAAGATTAATAATACAATCCAGTGTTAAAATAGTATAGTTTATGGATATTCAAAGAAAATATAATTTCTAAACGTTCTTCCATAAACCATAAATTTTAATATTTAATCATACAATCTATATCTTAAATATTAAATATTTGAAAATAAATGACAAATATTTTGTCAAAAGAAAATACAACACTTATAAACTTCAAATATAATAGTTTTGTATGACAATCTAAACCATGAACATGTCTTAGACTCTAAAAATATTCTCAACCTTAAATTTTTAAGAATAAATTCTAAATCATATATCCATAAAAATAAAAGAATGATCGTAAACTTGATACACCACAACATGGCTATACATCGATCCAGAGAAGAAAAAAAAAATAGATCAAAAACTACACAGTTTACATAAATTACATGACAACATTTCCGAGTTATTGTGTGTTAATGTTGCTAACACCATCAACAATATATGGATAGCTAAAAGGTGTTGAATCTGCCACCAATATCTGATGAGAATTCCGCCAACTAATCTCTTAAAAACATACCTTAACATACACATATATATAAGAAGGCGATGCCGACGAAGAAGGCGATGCCGACGAAGAAGGAGATTTCGAGATTTTCAAAATTCTTTTGATTAGTGATGTTCTTTTGGTTATTATTACGGGATCTCGACATCGGTGATTATGGTTCTCTTCGTGTTTTGGGTTTTCAAGGGAAATATTTGATTTGCAATTGGTTTTTGATGGAGCGATCGAATCTATTGTTTTGGAGGATTATTAGTGGAGATCTGATGATACATTATTCTGTGGAGTCTCTGGATTCGGAGCTTTTTACGGTTCTTTTCGATCTGATGGTTTGGAAAGGAAATAAGGGGGATCTGCTGATGCAATATCCCTTGGAATGTGCCGTTTCTTTGCAGGTTCTCTGTTTCCTTTTCTCAAATTGGTTCGTTTTTTTCAGTTGTGGTTGTTTCTTTTGACAATCTGAGGAGATTTTTTTTTAAACCCAGCAGAGTAAGTGCTTGGGGTAATGGTATTTTCAAGTTTTTAATGTTGGATTATTCTATGAAATCCTTTCTCTTTATCTTTGTGTTTGGCTCCCTTTGGTGTTATAAGGGCTTGTTTTTTTCTCATTCCAAGTTTGATGGCTGTGGTTTGGCCTTTTCTATTTAATAATATTGTCTCTTTGAGTGTTGAGGCTTGAACATTATCTGGTTAGTTTCTATTATTATGGGTCAAGAGTTTTTAATTTTATGGAGTGTTGGGAGTCTCGTAGTGGGCACAGAAAGCAAGGTGGTTGCCTACAGAGAATTTGGTATTTCAGATTACAATTCCTTAGTATTTCGTCACTTTGTTTGTTTGCTTATGATTTTGTTTTGGAAATGAGTGTGTTTGGTTTTTATGAAGCTAGATCAGGGATATGGTATATAGCTGGGACAATGATTCAAAAAATATTAGAAGTGATGATATGCAGTAATGGATGTTTTAATAGATTGATCGTTTTGCTTTCCTTTTATTTTCGTTTCTCTGATGGCCATGAGCTATCAATCTGGTCTGAAATGTTTTGTCAAGGAAGAACACGGACGGAACATGGTAACAGATTTTTGAGCTTTGGTTGCCAATTTATTTTGGTTGTACCGGTGGAGAATGGTTCTATTTTAGTGGGATGGAAGCATCTTTCACAACTTGATATGTGTTGTGCTGGATGGTATTTTCTTTTGGTGGATTACGTGATTTCAAGACCTTGTATTAAGGGATGGTGGTCTCGATATTTTCTCTATGAATTTGATTACCTACTTTTCACTTTTGGACTTCAATTAAATTTCATTGTTGTAACAGGACCAATTTTTTCTGTGGTTTTCATTTCATCGACCCTGAATGATAAGTGTAAAAAAATACAGAGTAAAAAAAAACAGAGTTATGGCGGCTTCGGATCAGTCTAGGTATCTTTTTGCGATAATGATCATAATGATAATATTATGATCTGGATTGATGAACTTGTTTATGGCTCCTTTGGATGTCAGTTGGAAGTCAAGCTTTCTAAGGCGACATTTTGGTTGAAACAAGCATTGGTTATGACCCAAATTAGCTTTGTTGCACGGGTTACCTCATGTATTATTTGCTTAAGTAATCATGGCTTGTTAGTTACAAATGTTCCAAAGTGTAAGGTGACACGATGTAATTTTGGTCTTCGAAGGTTAGATAATGGGAAGGCACTGTTTACAATTATTCAACATGTATACTTTTATTTTTGGATTATTTGGGATTTTTGGGGGCTTTTAATTATGATACACCAGGAATATATTAATCTGTATTTTTGTGGTGTAATGAAATGGATTTCAATATACATTGTTCATACGTGAACAACTTTAAAAATTGAATATCTATGAGTATACTAAGTTGGAACTGTAGAGGTGCGGGAAGTTCGGAAACACTGCAACGTATTAGAGATTTACGACGGCAGTATTTACCAGATATTATATTCCTAATGGAGACTAAACAAAAGTTAGCTTATATGGATGCTTTAAAATCAAGCTTGGGATATGATTGCTTACATACGGTGGAACCGATTGGTCGTGGTGGTTTAGCTTTAATGTGGAAAGGTTACTATACAGTAGAAATTCTTAATAGCGATAATAGAATCATTGATCTTAAAGTGACAATGGGTTCCATGGTTTCTTTTCTCTCATGTGTATATGGAGATCCAGTAAGAGGAATGAGACGTTTTGTCTGGGAGAAATTAACGGATATTGGTGTGGTTAGAGATGAGGCATGGATTTTGGTTGGTGATTTTAATGAGCTAATGCATAATGGAGAAAAATTGGGAGGTCCTATTAGAGAAGAGACCACTTTCTTTGATTTTAGGAATATGGCAGAGGCATGTAAAATACGGGAAATGAGGACCACCGAAAATACCCTCTCTTGGGCAGGTATGCGTGATCATAACTGGATACAATGCCAGCTAGACAGGAGCTTTGGTAATGATGAGTGGTTTCGACTTTTCCCTCAATCGTCAACGGACTATATGAGTATGTGGCCGTCAGATCATCGGCCTTTACGCGTTGAATTCGCTCTTGAACCTGAGAATTTGCATAAGGGACGGTTTTATTTTGATAAACGTTTATTTGGTAAAAGAGGGGTAGATGAAGCCATTATTCGAGGATGGGATGCAGAAAATATCAACTCAAATCTCAGTGTTCTTGAGCGGATTGCTCGGTGTCGGTCGGAACTGTCCAAGCTTAAAACAAACAAACGATTGGAATTCAAAAACAAGGATAGATCGATTGCAAATTGATTTGGATAAGGAGAGTTCCAAACAATTCCCTATCTGTGGTTTATTAAGAAGATTAAGAATGGAGTTGGCAGCTGCATATAGGGAAGAGGAAATCTTTTGGAGGCAAAAAAGTAGAGAAGAATGGTTACGGGAAGGGGATAGAAATACAACGTACTTCCATAATGTGGTTAAAGGGAAGAAAATTAAAAATAAAATTTTGATGCTTAGGGATATATTTGGTAATGAAAATTATTCTGAAGGGTCTAAAGGACATATTGCTACTGAATATTTCAGAGATTTGTTTACTAGTTCAAACCCAAGTGATCTAGAAACTTTGTTTGAAGGCTTTGAAGGTAGGGTTACTCCTGAGATGAATGCATTATTAACCAGAGATGTCTCTTCTGATGAAATCAAAAAGGCAACTTTTGGTATTAAGAGTAGTAGTGCCCCAGGTGAAGATGGACTTATCGGTTTTTTTTTACCAAAAATACTGGCACATTGTGGGACCGAAAATTATTGATGATGTTCAAGGTTTTTTTAAAACAGACAATTAGTAGGTTGAATTGTAATGGCATTTGATGTAAATACTCTAGTTAAGAATGGATAGTTTAATATGTAGACTGAGAGTGATTGTGGTGCTGCCACCTCAGCATGGCACCCTTGTAAATAACTTACATATTGAAGGTTGGTTTTTCAAATTGTTTCTCTATTAATAAGAAAGGGATTATTGATATGGACTTAAGCAAGATTGGGCAAGTGGCCTAACCAAGATTGACGAGGATGGAATCTTCAAGCGTTTCTCGAGGGGCCGCTTAGGGTTGCCCCTGTTGTTTATTATTTTCTTTTCAATAAAAACCTTAACAAATATTAAAATTAATAAATTTATATTTATCTTATTATATAAAACTTTTTTCTTCAAAGTTACCAATTAACATGATCGTGACGTATGACACTAAAAATCATGAGATTATGACATGTGTTAAAACAATTATCATAACTATAAAATTAATCAATAAAAAAATCTGATAGTATTTTCATCTTTTTAAAACCTAAATAAAAGATAATTATAAATACTTATTTGCAAGTAATTTTCCTTCTAAAATTCTAAATTCCATATTTTAATTCCTACACAAAGAGAATTATAAAATAAAATAGTAGTTTTCAAAAAATATATTTATAAATACTTCAAAAAAATATTTAATATAATTTTCATTTTTTTTAAAACTCCTAAACAAAAGAAGTGTAAAAGTAAAATTTCAGCTATCTGTTTGTAAATACAAACTTTCCTGTTTAATAGAAAAATTCCTATCTTAAAAATCATAAACCTAAAGTATTTTTTTCTTTTTAAAAATCTTAACTAAAAGATAATTGTAAATAGTTATTTGCAAGTAATTTTCCCTTTTTTATTAAAAATCTTTCAAAATCCTAAATTCTATATTTTAATTCCTACACAAAGAGAATTATAAAATAAATAGTAGTTTTCAAAAAATATATAAAGCGAGAACAAATTATAAAATTTCAATTTTTTTTGTAAATAATTAACTTTCCTGTTTAATAAAAAAAAATTAAAAAAATCATAAACAAAAAGAACTACAAATATATATATCTTATTATATAAAGATTGACTCTTTTAAATATGATAGTTTTAAAACGATAATAACTTTTCTTTACTTAGTTTTATTAATTTAGTTTTTTTTTTATTTACATATGTCATAATCTGAAATATATATTTGTATTTTAAAAGGAAAATGCCCTGCATTCAAGAATGCCATGCATTAAATAAAAGAACCAGAAAACGACAGATGGCACTCAACAACAATATTTCCTTTCGTTGATGGTCTGTTGCTGGGTTTTTATAATAATTTAAATCACTGATATGGACTTAAGCAGGATTGGGCAAGTGCCAAGTGGGCTGACCAAGATTGGCTAGGTCGGAATCATTTTTAAGCGTTTCTCGAGGGACCGCTTAGGGTTACCGCCGTTGTTTATCCTTTTTCTTTTCAATAAAAACTCAAACAAATATTAAACTAATAAAATTTACATTTCTAATATTTTAAAATAAGATTCTACTATTAACATAAAAATAAAGTCACTAAAAATGTCTTCATCATCTACATTTACATGTATGCTAAACCACTACAATATCCATTTTACATAATTTAGGTATGCATATATAAACACTAAAATATATTAAAATCTAATATAATCAAACGAAATAATTTTATTCAATATAAAATACAATCAATATAGAATAATTTAAATATGTATATAAAATTATTGTAGGGATTCTATTTTATAAGTTAGTTAGTTATATTCTAATTGATTATTTGGATAACATAGTTAACTTATCTTTATAAATTATAATACATTAGATTAAGATTTGCACTTTGTGCGAGATGAATATTGAATATACATACAATTTTACGCATTACTGTTTATTTTCATTTTTTACTTCTATTAAATTAGTGAGAGATCAGTGACTATTACATATATAACTAAATTGGCGCGGAGATATAATTCAAAATAACCATTGTTATTTACAATCATTTTATGGTAAATCAATCAAAATAATAAATTTTCTGTTTTTATATTATTTATAATTAAATTAAAATTATATTAATATCAATGTACAGTATATTTTTAAAATATGACTATAATTTTTCTGTTCACATGGTTTTATGATTATTTGTACTTTTATAACAAAAATCTTAAAACGTTGATAAAACAATTTTAAATAACTTATAATATTTTATTAATTTATAATCATTTTAGCAAATTTAATGAAATTTTGAAACTAAAATATTTATACATTTTATATAATATACAAATTTAAACGATATTAATATATATAATCTAATATTTATTAAAAGAACATTTTACTAATATAAATTTAAGAACATTTGTATCTTATTATAAATTAAAATTAAACCATTGATCACAACATTTCAAATAGAGATTTTTTTAAATTTTATTAATTTATATTCTTTTTGAAAAGTCAAAATATATAATATATAAAAAAATTATTATGTAGTTAATTTGATTGTCTAATTAATTTTAATAATGTTAATATAAAACAAAAATCATATAAGATGAATAAATTATTATCAAATCTTTATTATTTAAATTATTAATTATCATATATATTTTGATCAGATTAGGTAATTCCGTATGTTATTGAAGGAAATAATGAATAATATTTTAATATCAATAATTAATTATATGATTAGGTTAATGAAAAATATACTATATTTTTAGATGGACCAAATTATTTTCTAAATATTTTGAAATTGATTCTCGTGATGACACGTGTCATGGTTCAAAAGTTGTAATGTTTTTCTTTTAATATATAGGAGATATATAATATTCTAAAAAACATGTATATATGTAAATAGTAACGATAGTTTCACATTATCTACTTATCTGTCTTAACATATTGTTAATTATAATGAATATGTTAGCTTTTTAGATCAGATAAGTCATTAGAAAAATGCATAAAGCAAAAAAAAAGTAAATTCATGAAACAAATATATAATTAAGGAAAATGACCTTCTTAAATATAATTATAAATATTTCAGGTGAGGAAATGACCTTCTTAAGTTCTGATATGATAGATGCTTCAGATAAATATTCAGTTAACGATCAAGCTCTTACTCCAGATTTCTTAAATAC